CCGCGATACCCGCATCTCCAACGCGGTATCCCTCTTCCCCGCGCATCCCGCATCAGCGACGCGGTTTCCCCGTCCCCGCGGACCCCGGACCCACGACGCGGTTCCCCCCGTCCCCGCGCATCCCGCACCCACGTCCCCGCGGTCAGGCCAGCTGATCGAGCGGCTTTCCGCGGCTTCCCCCTCCCCGCGGACCCCGCATCAGACCGTGAACGTTCTGAGCAGTTTCCCTCTCCCCGCGGCTTCCCCCTCCTCGCGGCTTCCCCCGCGGACCCCCCCTCCCCGCGGATCCCCCTGCTCCTCACCCCCCCTCATAGCCCCATGGATTAGAACCGGCCCTTACTAGCTACTACGTATTCTCCGAGAAAAACAAATATAAATTAAATATAGTTTAAACAAATTTAAAAACAGAGGATTAAAGGAAATATTTATGCATACTGTTTAGGATAAGGATCGAATGACGAAAGAACAGATAGTCAGCTAGGACAGCTAATCAGATGCTTCTTAGTTTTAGATATTTTAATTATCAAACCGTGTCGATGATCACTGAAAAATTACAATTAATTTACATATTAAAAATCAGTAATAAAATGTATAACGATATTCGCAAACAAGCTAACGTGATCTAAGAAATACAAATAAATATATTCGTGTAAATTATTACATATTTTTACTATATTTTTGATTGCTTACCTTTATTTGTAGATTATTTTGTGATTTAGTCAAAAGAAGCACGAATTACGAATGGCATGAACAGTACAAATTGAGCAGTGAGTGGTACGAACTACGAAAGTACGAAGTAACTGAACAAAGGAAAACAAAATTATATTTCACCGTCTATCACAAGGACAAATGCGACTTAAAAAAAAACTTCGCGCTTCAACTGTCAAGGTGGCCAAGCTGACGTTTTGTTCCACGTACGATGCGACGATGCGCATAATCGGCATGATGTCATATCATGGCTATCATGCGCACCATGCATGAAACGGGACAGGGCCGCTGATGCAATGCAATTAGTCCCCAAGAAAACAAGTATCGAAAATCGATATAAGTAGGTTAAGTATCGATATATGGAAATATCATTGCATGAAAAATCTATACAAAATATCGATATTTAATATTAAAAATATCGATACTGCTAATATCGATACTGTATCGCCCATCACTAGCGCAGATAGCTTCCGCGTTTAGTGCTCGTAAAGAGGCATTCCTTGAGCTGTCGATTGCTCTTTTAGAAAATAACTTGCCTGCGTCTGCGATTTCGATTGAAGAAATCAAAAGCGGGCGTTGTCGATAACGCTTTGTCCGATTTTCGCCTGTCACTACGCGTATCTGATTGTAATAGAGTTTCGAGAGGACGAATCTCAGCCCCGGGCTGGTCACACTGCTCCTAGTTATGCGTCGGTAGTGAGTGGGAGTTTACCTAGGATTTGACTAGCTCGTGGCCCTACACTTGAGGTTCCAGAAACTACAAATTTAATTATTATACCCTGGGAGGAAAATGAAGAGCTTACAATATCTAGCGCTACAAAAAGTGTGATTCAGCAAGCTCCGAAATCATCTGATTTTAATCTTAAGGTCAGAAGAATATCGTCTGCGAAAAACAATGGCGTACACATAACGGCTAATTCAGTGAATTTGGATAAAATAAAAAATTCGAAAGTTTTGGAGAAAGTTGGTTTAAAGATCGAGCAAAAAAGTAAAATAAACCCGAGATTGCTGATTAATGGCATTCCGCGAAATATGAAGAGTGAGGACATTAAAACAGAGCTCATAGGGCTGAATCAGAGGAATTTGACTGGAAAAATCTCAAGTCAGAATCATCTACAATTATCCACCAAGAGAGAACCAAAAAACCACGAATTGTGATATAGAAGTACCCAACATTGCGCGCGCACGATTTATCCTATTACGGCGTCTGAAGTTCGCGCGCTCAGGCATTGCGCGCGCGATTGCGGGGTGCCCTTGTCCATTGACTTATTTAAATATTGACATAATTGATGCGCTTATCGCAAAAATATCTAATTATCGAAATTGAATTTCTTATTTGAAAACATTAATGATTTTATAAGTTAATAACGCTTTAAGTTTAAAAATCAAATTTTGACAATTAGGTTACTTTTGCTGTAGGCGTCTCAATTTTTCATACAATGACAAAAAGATCGCTTTTAAACTTTGTCTCGTTTATTTGTGATTATTTTTAATATCAGTATAATATTACAAAATATCAATGAATAAAAGTAAAATAAGAGAAATAATATTAATTTTAAAAATAATTAAATTTAAGTAAAAGTAAGATAAGAGAAATGGTATTAATTTTAAAAATAATGAGATTTACAGGAACTGTTCGAAGTGACCACCATCGCACTCAATACACAATTGGGCGCGTCGAAGAAGATTTGTTGTAGCGCTAATAATCATATTAGGCGTTATAGTGGCAATGGCTTCTATTATTTTGTCTTCTAATTCTTCAGATCACCAATTGGTTCCTGGTAAACATATTGTTTTA